GGCCCATGTGAATATGCACCACGCACACGCCCACCTCTCCCAGCCACCTCGGTCTACCAACCCCCCCCCTGACATCAGACAACCCACCTTCCAGCACTTCACACTAATTCACAACCTGCAAACCTCTTTTCCGGGAAGGGCCATGCTTATTGTAACAGGAATGGATTTCTCAACCAATTAACACGTGGGAAACAGTGCTCACATTTTTATTGTGTGCATCTTTTTTCCATGCGTCACTGCTGAAGTTTATGGCTACTGTGCCCTAATCACACTTTTCCACACACGCTGGTTTCCACTGCACGATGCACAGTGCAGTGATTTGTAAGAACGAACATGTCATATTTTAGTAGCAGCAACGGTATATAATCATTTACAAATTTCATTTGTACCGAAATTATATATTTGGAATAAGGTGACATGATGTGTGCATTTCTCCTAATTTTGCTGTGTTTTTCTTGTTTTTCAGCCCATTGTCAGCTATGAGAAGATTTTTAGGTTCGCTTTTCAAGAAGTGCCAGTCCCACAGGCAACTGAAGGTGTTTCCACCTTCGACCATTTCTTAGAAACAAGCAATGAAGAAAAACTGGGCCTTGAATCTGTGCATAAACTGTGGTAATGAACTTGGATTGGTGCTCACATGTCTTCTGGCAGCTCTGCATTTATGCCTTTGGTTGATATGGTGGATGCATGGGGTCTTCTGTTTTTACCTCTATAGAGGGCTTCGTCCCTCCCGAGGTTCCACCACCTGTGGTCCAAGGGTCGAAGGACCGGGTGGCACAGGTGCAGCAGCTCCTCCTTTTGGAGCCATGTCCAGCCCTTCCCCCGCCCTCCCACCAGCGCACCCGGAGCAAAGTGGGCCAGGGAGTGCCAGCTCCTCGGGTCTTGGTGAGAGTGCTGGGGGTGAGGGAGGGACCAGTGGGCTTGGGCGGCGGGCACAGGGGCTCCTGGGGGACTGGACCAAGTGACCCCCTAGTACCCTGGAGACAGCCCAGTGCCCTGGAGACATTCTAGGCCCACCGCAGGGCCAGCTCACCGGTGCTCCTGGGGCTGCCAGCAAGGCTGACACTCCCAGGGCAAGGTCCCTAAGGGGGATCACAGAGGCACTTGTTTGTGGACGGCCA